ACGTAAGAAATGACTTAAGAATGTTGTAAGCTGTATTCTCTCATTTATGATCCTGACTGAAAAATATGTATTTTTGAGTTCTCTCTTGAGGTGTGCTCGACGGAACTGTGTAGTTTAGTGTTCTCTCTTAAGTACTTAGTGTCTAATGGAAGACAAGTACTTCTGAGAGATATTAGATTAGATAGTTCTGCCACGTCATCGTATAAGCATGGGAAATTTAAAGTGACCTTTGAACTTGCATTTAAAGTGACTACTTTTGTCTCAGGATGGGCTATAGATCCCCAGACCATAGCTCGTAGTGTGTATGTACCAGATTAGTATGAAAAAAGGTGGATGTGATGGACCTTACAATGGATGCCATGCATAAACGCGGCCGTACCACCAATGCATTATGCATGGCAACCGGCCGGGGCAGCCCTGGGTAGGCTAAACGGCAACCACGTGACATGCGAGATTCAATTCACCACACCTCAAAAGCTCAAACGTAGCCATGTCCTAGTTTTTTCTTAAAAAAAGTGAGTGTGAGACTAACTGAACAAGAACTAGGTGGTATAAAGAAAATAAGCACCTAGATTCGAGTTGGGAAGGACTCAGACATGATGGTTCACGGTTGGGTGCATGGCCACACATTCTACCCAACCAATTGAGGTTCGCTTATTTCCTCCTATGTCCTAACTTCACAACCAACAAACCTCTCTTCCGTCCAATAAAATTACATATATCGATACACTATGTGTTAACTTTTGGAGGAAATCCTCAAAGAACATTGAATAAAACCACAACGCAAAATACATAAGAACAGATCGAACCACAACGCGAAAAAAAAACTGAAACATCAAGACCTAGGTCAGAAATTCAGATCTAGTGAGTAGTTTTTTTTTAATCATTGAACTGATATAAGTAAAACTCTCTTTGAGTTTATAGTCGCTCAAAGTCAAGCAATGTCAGAATTTCCAGACGGACGTCAGACAAATGACCTCTGACTTAGAGAGTAAGAATGTCAGAATTTGAGTCTGTTGTTGTAGATTGATCAAGGTCAGAAATTTCGACCCGCAAGAAATTTAGCCCAGAAGATTTAGCAAAGAGTTAAATGCAACAGAGGTCCATTAACTTGTGAGGAGGTTTCAGTTAGGTCCATCAACTTTCAAAGTGGCCTTTTGGGTCTATAAACTTTAAATGCCATATCACTTAGGTCCATACTTGTCCACGTTGGCTTCTCATGCTGATGTGGCATGATGACTATGCTTCTATGTCCCACTCCCACGGAAATGTTGCTGATGCCGGTTGAAGTAGAGCACGCCGTCCTGGACCCTTAGCTCCTCGGCCTGCTTCACCATCTCCACTTGCTGCAGCGATGGCGACAGCGAGAGGGACAGCCCCTGGCCTTCCACAAACGGGCCCCGGCGACGCCGAAAGTCTGGAACGCCTCGTGGTGCTGCTGCACGTCCGCCGCGCAGCTGCTCGACGCCATGGAGCTCCGGCTGCGGCCGCTGGACGCCATGGAGGTCCGGTCGTGGCCTCGACGCCATGGAGCTCCGGCTTCGACGCCACTGGACGCCTACCTCCCCGTTCGCGGCCGCTCGACGCCGTGGAGGTCCGGCCACGGCCGCTCCACGCCCGGCTCGCGCGCCTCCCCACGCAGGTGTTGAGCACGGTGTCGAGGGCGGGGAGGGCGGGCGTCGAGGCCATTGAACACGGTGTCGACGCCGTCGGGCGCCGCGGCCACGGCTAGGCAGCTGATGGTCCCGTACGTGCTATGGATAACCACGTTCTCCTCCGGCAGCGTCACCTGCATGCCGTCGAACAGCAACGTCACGGGCGGCCACGCCACGGCGGTGGTGTTGAAGCACGTGTCGAACCCTCCCAGCGAGACACACGGCGCGCCGACGCGGCGCCGGACCTCGCCCCGCACGCACCACGTCACGCCGGCGCCACCAAATGGGTGAACATGGTGCCGAGTCCAGCCGGTGCCCACACCCGTCGCCGGGTCGAACGCCAGCCACCGCGCGCGGGATGGGCACCACCTTCTTGCCAACGCAGATGCCGGGTCATGTTCACGTAGTAGAGCGACAACCGGTGCGGGTTCGCCAAAGCAGCGGGCGTCGTCTTGATGCGCCGCGGCTGGCCGCTCTGCGCCCGTCCAGAAAGCGTCCCCGAGAAGTTGAGTGACTTGAAGTGGCGAGGCGATGACGAGAAGGTGGCTCGGTACATGTCCCTAGTCTGCGATAGAACGACAATGAGCCACGGCCGAGCCCGAGCAGCCCTCGCGGCGGCGTGGCGTGCCGGCGGTGGCCTTCTGCAGCACCAAGGTGTAGGCCTTCACGGCGTCGCCGGCGATGGCGAGGGAGTCCTCGACAGCCCGCGCCGCGCGTTAGCGCTGCCGGTCGAAGGGTGACGCGACGACGACGGGGCAGCCAGCGCGGCCGGCGCGGGATCCACGCGGCGTCGTTGTTTGGCGTCGACGGCCAAGAGCAGCCTTCTCGTGGCGGCGTGTGCGGCGGGCGTGCACCACGTAAGTTGGCGTCTCAGTGGCAGTACCGCCACCCGATGCGATGGGCGCAGACGCACGGTGCGCCACGCGCGCCATTGAGTCTAGGTATAGCAATGACGCGACGCGTCACGCGACGACTTTGGTCCGCCAGAACCCCGCCTGACGACGCGCGCCGCCGTCCCTGTGGCCCGGCGGCGAAGCGAGGGACCGAACACGCGGCGACACTGCAGCGTGTTCCCGGCGTCCGGCGGGTCACGGGCACGACGAGGTCGAGCTCGAGTGCGACGCGCCGCGCCGCCCACGACCACCCAATGAGCGAAGCACCGACAAAGATCCTAGCACCGCGACAGTCGAGGCCGTTGAGCACGGTGTCGATGGCGCAGCCGAGCTCCATGGCGCCGAAAGCAGTGCCGCGCGGAGGGTGGGCGTCGAGGCCGCGACCGGACCTCCACGGCGTCTAGCGGCCTGGCCGCGGGGACTAACGGCGGGTCCGCCTCGCCGCCCAGTACCTGCACCACGCCGCGCATCCCGAGCCGCAGCGCGGGATCCGGGCTGGAGCACACCAACCCCACCTGCAGCGCGCGCCGCACCTCGTCCTTGTCGAACTCCCCGCCCAGGCGCGGGTCCATGGCCTCCAGCAGCCGCGCCTCCCCGCATGATCCTCATCGTCAGCGCCGAGGCAGTGGTGCTCGCCCACAAGTTGTTTGACAAAATGCATTGCCAAGAGCTGCTTCAGAAGGACATGTCTGCAGGCCACGTCAGCGATGAGAATCCCGCGTGGAGAAGTATGGACTTAAGTGATACGGTATGCAAAGTTTATGGACGCAAAAAACCACTTTGGAAGTTGATGGACCTAACCGAAACCTCCTCACAAGTTAATGGACCTCTGGTGCATTTAACTCTTTAGAAAAATATAAAATCTAATCAAGCGACCTCCAAATTCAATGGAATTTATTTATGTAATAGCCAGTACATGATGAATCTTTGCCCAAAAGATCTCCTTAGAAAGATCAATACTTCATCTCATATTTCATGGATTTGGGAAAACTATCTAATTGAAAATCCTTGTGAGGTGGATTTCGTGAGGGATCATCTAAGGGCCCGTTTGGAATCATTCATTTGGAGGAATTGAATTCTACTTAATAAATTAGGTTAATTGGTTTGGAATTTGACATTCCACCATTTTCCAAATTTCACATATAAGCCTATCTCAAATTCATATGGTAGGAGATGGAAATTATTTTTATAGATCATTATTCTATGTTTCTACTTTGCAACCTATAACACGCTCTTCAACTCGCTTTCCCTACGATAGAAATGCAACACATAGGCTCTCTCGTATAGCCAACGATAATATACAAATATAATCCGTGTACAACCATATTAGTTTAATTAATATATGTCTAAATTATAATTATTAAAATAAATTTAATTCCATGCATCCCTCGCATCGGTCACACACAGTGAAGAAATTTCAGTGCAATACCGTGGCGGCTTCGTCACACACAGAAAATCGAGGCCGTCACATGCATGCAGGCCGAAACCCATGTGTAGCTTCAGTTAAAACTGCTCATTGATGACTGACTATCAATCGTTGGTCCTGGGTCGTGACCGAGGCCGACTCACTGAAATACCTATGGAACGGAACGTACGTCTAGTACGCGGCTTGGAACTTTTTGGCGACGTCCTTGATGTGCATGGATGGTACATATCAGTAACAAGCTAACAGCACATCACTAGAGCAATGAGCAAGTAGGAGTACCGTACGGTGGGAACGCACGCATTGCACAGATTAATCAAAGTAAAAATCAACTAAAAATCAACTTTTCTTTCGGGGGACAAAACAAAAAAGGGATCATCAAACACGACTTGAATCGCTCAACGTCAACGGCTCAACAATCTCAAGCTGACGCCGAGCAGCACAGACAGATCGGGCCATGGGAGCGTTCGTACGTGGCACACGACGAGGAACCCGGAAAATCACGGTTGGCAGTGTCCAAGTCCAAATTATGCCCGTCTCGTATGTATTACCACTGACTCGTCGTGTTTTGGCGGACATTTTAATCAACCTTGAGTTGATTGACTCCCGAGTCAACAGAGACGGCGACTGGCTCACTGCTGAGAAAGTGCTCTGTTTCTGATCCCGATCGCCCTCTGCTTCTAGTGCTGCTGCATCGTTTGCATACATGCATGATCACATACATCTGCCAACCATAGTCTTATATAAGCTAAACGATCACCAACTGTTTAGCGATGTCATGACGATGATCTAAATTAACCAGGGAAAAAGTATGAGAAACGATTTTTTTTTTTTGCCCCTTATGAAGTACGTAGCAGTATATGAACAACAATGGAGTATTTCGGAGGGGGCAGAGCAGAGCAGAGGAACACATGCATGGAAGGCAGCTACCTGTCTAGGACTAGGAGACGCGCGGATCGTTGGACGAGCTTGTCAGGTTTCTTTCTGTTCTACGTGTACACCGATCGTTATTATGGTTAATGGTAGCAACTAATCACATGCTGCTATCGCCTGGTAGTGGAGGCTCTCCTGCCGCATCTTCCTTCTCTGGCTCTTGATGAACTCCTCGAACGTCCTGTCGTCGGCTAGTTCCATTTCCATTCCCGCCATCTGCTGCTCCCGCGCCGTGTACACGAGCTTCTCGTCGTTGGCAACGGCGATGACGCTTCGGTCGTCACAGTCCCTCACGCCGTCCACGGCGATCGCTGTGGGATGCTCAACTTGTTCAACGATAGCCGTGCGATCATGGCGATCGAGCAGGTCCTCGTCATTCCTGGGCGATTCCACCGCCGGCTGGCACTCGACGAGACGACGGGCAGCCGCAGCACCATCGTGCATGGGCTCGGCGGCCCTGTTCCGCGGCCGCCGGCGCCACACGACGGCGCTCCTGGTGGCGTGGGGCCGAGCAGGAACCGGAACGGCGGAGCACGCGGTCTGTGCGACGACGGCGCTCCTTGTGGCGTGGGGCCGAGCCGGATTGGCGGAGCAGGCGATGATTTCTGTGCCACCGGCGGCGACGGCGGCGGTTGCCTCGCCCGGCGGGCAACCGCTGCGGCTGCGACGGCGGTCGGGCGTGCCGAGGACCCCGGCGTCCCTGAGGATGAGGAGGAGGATGGCGTGGCAGAGCAGGATCATGTTCCTGCGCGTGGCCAGCACCTCCAGCAGGCCGCGCCCGTCGAGGAGGCGGTCGAGCGCGGAGACCAGGAGCAGGAGGTCGGCGGCGGCGAGGCCCGGTGCCGCCGGTGCCTGGAGGAGGAGCAAGACGAAGAGGATGGCGGAGAAGGAGAAGAGCAGCGCCGCCGCCGTGGCCCTGGTGCCACTGCCAGCGCTCGCCATGGCCGGCGACGTAGTCAGTCAGCTGTGATGCTGAGGCTGCTGAGCACAGAGCAGAGCTAGGTGGGTGACTGGGTGAGGCGGTGGAGGCCGGCCGGGCACAATGCACGCGCTCCACACTTGGCTTTATATACGCACACTGTAAGTGAGAGGTGAGAGCGAGCGAAGAACGGTCAGAGCTAGCTAGACTCAAGGAGGCATGGCCGGCCCGGAACCGGAACGACTCGGACTGTGGGAGTAAACGGTGGGGCCACGGGCCCTGCCTGCTGTGCCGATGACTGACCTGGACTTTGACGCCATGGTTGAATCGTGAGTGAAATTTTTGCATTTTGGTCCGTTTTAAAAACATTTTTTATAAAAAGACTCATGCCAAAACGTTTGCTGAAAATAGACCATTTTTAGGCGTCTTAGAACATGACGCCAAGGTATGAGGGTCGGCGTCGACGCCAAGGTCTTGCCATGTCACGGACGACCCCGGTCGACGTCGACACGGTGGCGCTCCGACACGTCGGCGTTGTGTCAGCCAACGCCAAAGGCCCAACCTCGGCGCTGTAGGACTACACGCCGAGCTATTGACACCATCCGACGCGCGGCCCAGGCGACCCAGCAACGCTTTGTGGCCCAATATCTTGGCGCTGGGTCACTTAACGCCGAGCCATCAGACCTCGGCGCGGCCCGACTCAACGCCGAGGTCTGGACTCTTGAAGCCGTGCCGAGGCCCCCTTCTTCTTCCTCCCTCGTTAACTATCCTAGACTGTAGTGCTACTGTTTGTATCACTGAAAAGGCTACCTGTGCTGTTTATTTCAGATGGTCTTATGCCCTGTACTTCGTTAACTATCCTAGGACTGTAGTGCTACTGTTTGTATCACTGAAAATGCTACTTGTGCTGTTGCAGTCACTGAAAGGGCTACAAGTACTGTTGCAGTCAATGAAAAGTCTATTTGAAAACTCACTGAAAAGCCTAGATTCGTTTACTGTTGTATCCGTATACGCAATGAATTAATATCAGAGTGATGTACTGCATTTAGATAAAGTGACAAAAACAGGTGTAGCCTTTTCAGATGAAATGACCAGTCATGGTTGTAGGCTTTTCAGATGAAGCATCTAGCCTTTGCAGATTCAATAAATGAGTACGCACACAAGTTTTTTTTGTCAAGTAACATTCATGGTGAACCTGCCTTCATCTCTATATATAGTGCTCCATGTCTTGCTCCACATCCACACATCTTGTTTTCTGGTTTAGTTTTAACAAATGTCGAGCGGAGGTTCCTCGAGTGGAAAGGGTTTCGGCGGAGGGAGAGGAAAGGGGGTGAGGAAGGGACCTCCGATTGTGTGGGAGGGTTCTCTGGGTCCTGATTCTTTCGAAGAACCAATAGAGGAATTTCCTTTGGAGAGGAAGAGTGACTTCACCCGTGAGAGACCTCTTAAATCATACGACAAGCGCATTGAAGATCGGCCAAAATGCCGCCACGGTTTGGATTGCGTTGTGCAGATGTACAACGTCTGTGATGGTGGAGGCCGTCGTTTCTTCAGATGCCCGCGAGGATTTGTATTTCCTTTGAACTCTCTCCTTTTTTAGATTTGTATTTGGTTTGTAGTAGTACTTATTGGTAGATGGGTTTTCAGGATTCAAGTTGTCCACATAACTGTGGCTTCACTAGATGGGTCGACCCTCCTCCTATCTATCCCCATCAACAGTACATCACATATCTACAGGGACACATCTTTGACCTAGAGTATGGCCCTGGAAGTGGTAACAGGGACAAGTCGGACGACGACAACAGCAATGATGTAGAGGAGGCACTATGCAATAATCCGTACTGCCAGTGCCCGTACCATAAGAAGCACGAGCCTCCTCCACCGCCACCGCCACCGCCACCGCCACCGCCTCCGTCATTTGGGGGATACTGTGGGGAAGGCGCAACTCAGTTCAATATGTGGGGAAGGCTAATTGATGTATGCTAAAATTTGAGCCAAGTACCTTAACGTGGACGGCGAGTGTAACGCTTTCTCCTCCCAAACGGATAGGTACTTGGAGTGTACCTATCCACTGGTCTGAGCGTCCTCTGTGGACGTCCAGAACCGGAGGGGCCTTGAGTTCCTTGGGGTGCATCTTCAAGCTGGGACATGCCAATCTCATCATACTCATGCTCATAGTACTCTCCCTGTCCTTCATCATCTTCATCATCATAAGGACCATGTCCTTGACCACCCTCTGCACTAGTTGCTGCACCATGTGAAGAAGTCCCGCCAACATGTGCACCATGTGAAGATGAAGTCCCTCCAACATGTGCAGTAGAAGGTCCAGCACCAAGCTGTTGTGGGACTACCACATCCGGGGCACGTCTACATCCAAGGCGTGCAGCTACCTTTCGGAGGCGATGCATGGCACGCTGCATTTTGAAAGCACTATTAGTAAGTGGGGTTGGTCGCAAAACTATATAAAGATGTAACATCACTTGAATGACATGAGGCTACCTGAATGTGCTGTCGTAACATGGAGGCCTCATCAGGATCGCCCACAGGAATCATCAATGCCCTTCCTTGCTCGGCCACTGTCCTCATTATCTCTGTGCTCTATGCAAAAAACAAGAATTTAAGTCTCTATCATAGTAAAGACCTCAGAGATGGAAATAGTTGTGTCACTTACAGCTCTGGCTAACGCAGGGGCGATCTCAACTTGCATGCCTTCTCGGGTAGCTTGGTCATATGGGTTGTTGCCCTCATCCTCGCTCGCAATGTCAGCAATGTCTTGCTCCGTCCAAGCGGGCCTCAATTGAAGTCTTGTTCGTTGACCAAGCCAAACAAGGTAATCATCGAATGCCTTGTCATGATGGACGGCGTGGATGCCCATGTTGTTCTGCTGCATCAACATCCACTCATCAATGTAGCGCTGGTGCTCCAGCTGCCAGTTGGTGATCTTCTTATTTTTTTTGTCTGCTGAACCTGCAAATTTTACACAACAAGAAGGCAATATGAAGGCCTACTCAATGATTCATTCATGTGAAACGAACAAAATATTGCATGTTACGTACTTGTGGAGCTACCAACCGGTGGAGAAATCCTTGGGCGGAGAAGGCTGCAGCCTACCAAACTGTCATGCTACACGGTGAGGGAGATGGTACTCCACTGCATAGAAACATATAAGGGGGTCCTCATCGTCCAGACGTCCTCGTCTGCCATGCACAAGGAGCTCAAGTTGAGATCCGTGACTTGCCTCCGCCGATATGGGCGCCATTGAACCTGTACACAACGTCGTCATCAACTAGTCGACGCTCAATTTGTGCACATATCCTCGATTAGGCCCAAAGGGTGGGAAACTTACATGCTGTGGCAAAAGGGTGTCCAGCTCGTTGGTGAAGCTGATGTACGCGTGGCGTGACACGTGGTAAGTTCCATGGGCTCGCTCGTAGAGGTGTGCCACGGTAGGGGCAACAACTGTGTCTCCTTAAGGAAACCAAGGTTGTGGGGGATCAAGCTGATGCGGTCTCCCAACTGGAAACCTCTCCCACATCCAAATCTACAAGAAAGAGTGGAAACTTGCATGTTAATCACTTTTATTAAGAAAAAACATTGAATTGTAGTGAAAACTTGTACAACTTTGCTTTATTACCTGCAACAGTGTGATGCACCCTGACATTGTAGCGTGTGCACCTCTAGGACGGCGGCAAGCCTCGCAAAGCTGACGGTACAGGAAGGCAAGTATAGCCGAGCCCCAACTCCTATTGCCGGCATCCTCCCAGTTCCAAAGGCATGGGATGTACATCTAGGACGCTGTGTCTCCAGTGTCGTCAGGGAAGAGAACCGTACCAAACATGTGCAGGACGTAGGCCCGACAAAAGTATGCCACGGTCTAGGAATCTATGTTGGGTGGGCACTCCCGAAACTGCTGACGAATCCACCTCAGGGACACCCCACTGCTGCGCCATTTCTTACCAGCCTCAACTACCGCTAGGGGACGGCCCAAGAAGTGCTCAACCCGCTGCTGCCATCCTTCAGACTCTGTGTCTCCTGTCACTGGGAATCCTTGGATTTTTACTCCAAGGATCATGGCAACGTCCTCGAGAGTGACCGTCATCTCCCCACACGGTAAGTGAAAGCTGTGTGTCTCCGGACGCCACCGATCTATCAACGCCGTCAGCGCCGCTGGGTTGAAAGGTGGCGTGCCTCGACGACAAACATGAGCAACGGTAGCAAGGTTCGCCAGCTTCAGGAGGGGCGTGTACCTCTCGTCATAGACCATGGTCGTAGAGTTCTCATGTGTCATTGGCCTCAGCACATTCAAAACCTGCAAAAAAAAGACAAGCATGAAAAAGCATTAGTTCATGTCACTTTATAAAGAGCATGGACTATAGAGCAAAAGATGAACAATGCACTGTTTCATATGAATTATTGAATATACCTCTCCGTTCTCGATCCTTCGAGCCTGGTGGTGCTCATCGAACCTTGGATCAAGAAGGGGGAACCAATCCATCCTGCAACATAAGGAATGCCAAAGCATTAGTATAAGTTAAAGCATGTATATGTGGTACGAAGTAACATAACAATAAAAAAACAAAAGTAAAACCAATGCACTATTACACAAAGCAATTCAAGTAGCTAGCTTGGTGGATACCTGTTGTCTAAGTAGTTCAGGACATTTTCTCTTATTGTGGCCCGTCTTATGGCAACCAGAGCAACGACTCTTTTGGGTGTCCTCTACAAAATGTGTCCCAACCTTACTCGTGGTTGATCTACCTTTCATGGCTCGGTCCATGTCCATCCTGAACCGCTTCCGTCGCCTAGGTCCTCTACTCTTCCAGAGTAAACCAAGATCAACCACATACTTGGGGCCATCATAAGTAGGCCATTGACTCTCGTCAAGAAATGGCTCGAACTGAGGATTCCAGGTGCTCATTAGGTTCCTCAAAGAGAACTTCGCGACCATACGGGGAGGGACCTCAGCGTCAACACGTCTAAGGCGACAGGCTATAATCATGTGGGAGTAAGGCCTATGGTATAT